GCAGCAGCATTCAAAGCATTTCGCATCACATATTCCTTTTGACACCCACTTTAATATTTATGGCCATGAACGTAGCCGTAACAGCAGTTTCTTCCCAGGGAGCTGCACTGTTTTGTTTCAAGCAATTTAACAGCTTTTGGGTAAAATAACAAGCCCGCCAAACCAACACACCACACACACACATCACAACAAACAAACTCCGCACATTCCGGGAGCGGGCAGCAAAAAGTCAGGCCCAACAATGCGCCACTAGACCTCCTCATCCACATCCTCATCCTCGTTCCCATTACCATTGCCATCCCCAATCTCCCAGAGCCCCAAGCAAGCAAGCAGAGGGGAGATGCAGATGCAGGGGACAGGAGTCAGGAGCCAGGATTCAGGATCCCAGGACCCAGGAACTGCGAAAGGAGACAGACGGTAAGGGCAGGACGCTGCATATTTTTGCAACACAAAATAAACCGCAACAGCAGCAATTTGCGTCGGTTGTTAGTTTGGAGAGTTGCTTAAAATTTACATGGACAGCGAGCACACATGACTAGACAGCCGATCTATGGGCCATATAGTGACTGGGCTGCGGATGCGGATGCGGATGCATATGCATGTGTGTGGCCACACAGGACAGTGCTGCGCCATAACTGAATAAAGTCCATTTTTAAACAATTACCTTTAGAAGCGCTTTTATCGCAACGGAAGTAGCTGGCCAACGCAAATGCAGCCCCACCACGAAATATTCTTGCGAAAAAGAAACGGAGAATATTGAGTCCCCCAAGGATGCATGTTAAGGATTCTCTCGAGTCCTCTCCATTAACAGCCATTTAAGCGGCGCTGTGCCCGATTTACATTTCCAGGCAAACTCCTGCCACCTTTCTCTGTCCCAGACCGCAATCAATCAAATCCAATCTAGGCACACATTCCGTCACATACTGCAGCAATCACGAGCAGACCTTTGACTTCTACCATCTCGCCCAGATGCTCACCCAATGCACTGGAGAAAATCAATCAAATGTGGGTTATGTGCATAAATTAAAAGCCCGAAATTGGATTCTGAATATATGTAACTAATCACTCCCATATGAGATAGCTTTAATTCGGATTGAATGAGCCGGAAATGTAACTACAATTTAAAAGCTAAATGCTAACCCTTATTTATTTAATGGAATCGTAATTATATTGAAGACACCTATGAGTTGTATAAATATTATTCGATGAATATAAAATGTAAAACAATTTTAAAAAATCTATACAAAATCAACTTTTAGATCATAGGTTTAACTAACAAATAAATAAATTTTAAAACTGTTTAATTAAACAAGCCCATAGGCGATTAATTTTTAATTCATGTTAATAGTTACTTATAATTCACCGTTGAGGTAAATCGTTAAGGTAGTAGCCTAATTGCAGAACAACTTAAATAAAATAAGATATGAAAAAGACCCTTTGGAATCCCGGTGCAAAAGATTTCTGTGGCCAATGACACTTTTTCCGAGTTTTGCTCGCAAATCAAACACAAGTTTTTGTGGTGCAAGGCGCACAGTTTTCAAAGGCAAACTTCTCCCCCGTCAACCGCATCAGAAGTCGAATCCGTGAGTGGGCCACCACGGCGGATACGTGATGTGCCTCTGCAATAACAGAAACTATAATAATTGTGACCGAAGGACCCACGGAGCTACATATGTGGGAAGTGCTGGCTTTTATTTGTTGAGTGCTTTTCAAGGTTGCCGCTTCGCTTAGAAGTCCCAGACAGCGCTTTCCACTTATGTAGGTTTAGGAACCCCAAAAAAAAAAAAAAAAAACAGAAAGCTAGACAAAGTGCAGCACACAAAACTCAAGAGCTGCATGCAATAACCAGTTGCAAAATGAGAAACATTAAACGGAAAATACATACGTTGTGATGGGACCGACATCAATACCCCAAAGCGAGGTTACGCATGCGTGTGCCAACCAGCCACGCCCACCGCCGCCCTCAGGTCCTTGGCCATGGCACGTCAGCCATCACTGTACGGTGAGCACTCCTCCGACTTGAATTATGAAATGTGAAAATTGTGTTAAATAAGTAAACAGAGGATGCGTTTGTGCAACATGCACATGCCACGCCCCAATTCGGCGCCACCGCCCCTGCTGAAAAATAGACACTCCCAAGTCACGTAGCCACGAACTGAATTTCATATTTCATGGCAGCACAGCCGCCCAGCCGAGTGGAGAAAAAAACCATTTAGGCAACGATAGCGCCCACATCCCTATTCCTCTTCTGGACTCCCAAACTTAAGCCCCCCTCCCCCCTCCCCCACTCCCCACCATCACCAAGCAGCAGTTGCAATATTTCATCTAAAATATGTATGCCCGGGCGGAAATTGTTTTTGTGTTAAATGGCGGAAGCGACGGCATTGTAATTAAAATTTGCTTAAAACTTAATGGCAAGTGTTTAATACACAATTGAAATTCCCCAGGACGACGGACGAGCTCCGCTGGTCAGGAATGTGGACCAGATTGGTTAAATGCTAAGGAATAGCTTGCGTAATTAAAGTTGAGGTGGAGCTACCATTAAAATATTGCCGATTGGGGATAATCATATACATTTCATTACCTTTGACCTGGGGTAGAAAAACGCAACTCAGCATTGGGACCCGCGGCATGCATTCAACGGCAGCCTAACAGTATGCAGTGAATTTTCCGGGCGACTCCAGTTGCATGCAAAAATATTCTACCCATTGGCCACCAATACCCCCCACCCAGAGTTTTCCGCCCCTACAGCTGCCCTTTGAACCCCAACAAGACCCGTTTTGCATGCGTGTGTAGGATGTAGTATGTAGTATGTAGTGCAAGCCTCAAATAGTTGCCACACATTAAATTTCCGGTCGGGCGTCCGTTCTTTAAATGCAGAAGGAAATGCAATAAACGCCAACTAAAAGCCACGCCAAAAAATTACAAAAATTACGGCTGGCGAAGGCAAAGCAAAAGAGGGCGAAATGATGGGGTGAAAATTCCATGGCAAAGAAAAATGCCGAAAATGAAATGACGCTAAAAGTATCGCAATAAAAACGCATTAAAATGCCACTCCAGGGAGTAAATAATTCTGTTGCTCCAATCGCAGATTTCGATATGTGTTTGTAGTTGTGTACATGGTGAAAAATACTTTTTAGATATTGAAGTGGGACGCTATCAATACTTCGATACAAAATACATAAAATAAAGCCCTGTTAGCAAGGGCTACCTCAGAAATCTATTAAGATTGGAATTAACTTAAAAAGGAATGTGAAAGTATGTTATTATATATTTTTTAGGAAAGAACAAACTTTAAGTTAACTTAAGTAAAATATTCTCTATGATCATATCTTAAGATCAAGGTTAAAATAAATTATAAAGGATGTTACCTCAAGTTTATTTATAAATCAAAAATTATTTCCAATATATTTATTAAAAATTTGTATTACATTACTGGGGTCTTATAATCTTTTTATTTGTGTACTGGACATATGTCTCTAAATTATTTAATGTAATTTTTTTTTATTTTTATTTAGTAACTCCTTTTTTTCTCTATGCAATCTTTGTAGTCGAATATATTGAAATACAATCGATGCTGAACAATTAGGCGCCGATTCCGAGGGGCTATGGTCCGTAGTCTGGGAATAATATTTTTATGGCCAGTGGCGCGCATAAATCCCGGACAGTCGGCTTGTAATTCAAAATGGACAGAGGAACGTGCAACTCGAACTTAGTAACTCCCGGCTGGATAGCGACTGGATCCATAATTTATGGCACCGCTTGATTCGAGTGCATATATTCCCGGCCAAACGCCTTTGCCTTGGATCTTGAATCTGCTCCTCAAAGCTGCCCAATGAGCCGAAGATGCAGAACATTTTGTAAGGCGATGCGCTTTTAATGTGTTTATTGACTTTGCCCGGGAAATGGGTGAAAAGTTGGATGGGGTTTTTAGGTGGTGGTATGTTGGGGAGACTAAGGTGAAGAGCTGAGGGATTAGACCAATCAATCAAATGCTATGGAGTTAATTAAACAAGATGCTGCTGAAGGAGTTGAGTATTTGGGTCAACTGTCTGTACTTTGTACTCCTGAGTCTCATTGTGCATATTTATTGCAGGAAAAATCCAAATAAATTCCAAGTACATTCGAGTGGCAAGGTGAAGTGTGCTTGTCAATTATAAGTGTTGATGTATATGTGGGTGCCCAAAACTGTAATTTCATATGAAACATGAAATTTCACTTAGATTGTTCAACTAATCTGCTTTGCCAGGAAGTGGGAATATACATTTAATAGCATTTTGTGAATTGTGGACGCTGCAGTCTATTCCAAAGAGCTCTCCGAGTCGGACAACAATACTAAAAAAAACAATTATACTCAATTGCATATGTTCATTAAAAATGCAGCAGAAACTTAATTAAATTTCTCGACTCAGTGAGTGTTTGAGAGCAGTTACAATCCGAGCTATACTTCCACATAAACATAAACAACAATTTACAGAATGTGCAAACAAAGCCAAGTGAATGGCCATATTGAATAGTTACATTGCCCAAAGGCTGATTATTATAGGGAGAATAAAATTCTTTACAAAATATTTCTGCAAGAGACATCATTCCTTAAAAAGATATATTATTTTATTACACATCCTATTAAAAAAAATTGTTTTGGTAGTCCTTTATGTTTATTTTTAATTTAAGTAATAGAAAAAAAAGAAATAAACAAGTTAAGAAGTATTATTTTCTTATTCCTCGAGTAACTATTGTTATTTTTCATAATGTTATTCACCTTCAAATTTTTTTTAACATACAGTCTTGAAATACTTTTTCTTTGAAATGCTTCCAAATAACTTCCTATTTTTCAGCAACAAGTTCTTAGGTTATAAATTATATAAATTCGAAATCCTCTATTTGATATGTTTAAAAACGAAATAAAATAAGTTAACAATACTGACAAAAATTGTCAAAAAACCCTGTCCCAACTGACTTTTCTGAAGTTGGTCGACCTGATTGCTGCCCGGAAAAATCAAAATAGATCGCTTTTGATGTTTCGCTTTTACAAGTTGTACTCGTTGTACATGAACAACATGGCCAGCGGACTCACGTGCCAGCGGGAGTGGTGCCTGTGCGAGAAGCTGCCCCGAGCGATGCTCCACGTCCCGGTGAACCGTCATCTGCTCTGCGAGGTGTGCGGATTGGCCAGACGTCCCCCGGCCGAACACAGATCCTCCAGCGACGAGGAGGCAGAGCTGGCCGCCGAACGCCAGAAGATTTTCCTGGAGCAACGTCGCGCGGAGCAGTCCAAAAAGAGTCAGCTGACTCGGGTGAAGGTGGCCATTAAGGCCAGGAAACCAAATGCCAGAACCAGTTGCCGGACGAACTGCGTCAAGTGTGGTGGCTTGTCCATAGGTGAACAGAAAGGTAATTGTGGAGCCGAAGGGGTAAAAAGCAAGTTGTATTCGGGTCGTCATGGCTTGTACTCGAAGCCAAAGAAGATGCCCCGACGCCAGCAGGAGCCCACAGCGCCACCACCTTCCTCGCCTTCGCCTTCGCCCCCGCCCTCGCCTCCTTCTCCGCCCTCGCCTCCACCTCCGCCACGACGTCCTCCTCCACAATCGGGGTCACCTTGGAAGGAGATGCCAAACCTGGTTACCATGGCCCAAGACGTTTTCGTCCGCAAAAATTTCGAACGCCAGAGCTACAGCAATCTCTTTGTCAGCAACTTTATCCCGTTGACCAGTCCCATTACCAGTACCTCCGGAGGAGCCATCTCCAAGAGGAGCAGATATAGCTCTTGTCCGCCACGCTGCCACAGAAGTCGTCCGCTGCCACCACTGGCCCAAGTACTGACCAACATCTTGGCCAGTCAAAAGTCGCTGGAAGACAGAGAGAAGGGCGGTGGCCTGAACACCCAGATGTCCAGGGATTCGCTGGACATCGAAAGCGAGCTGGCCAGCCAGTTCTGTCCCTTCGACCAATACGAGGGTCCATCAGAAGACGCCCTCGTCGTGAATAGTGCTCGCTACCTTCTCCATCGACCCAACTCGTTGTACATTGAACCACGGAGGGATTTACACAACAATCGCATCGAGTCCTTGGAATTTCAACTAAGAAGTGGCTATGGTTCGGCATCGCCTTCCCTTTCCAAAGTCCCCTCAAATTCCGAGGTCGGAAGTTTATCAGGTATCCAACGTCCTTGCTTCTTTATGCCGAAAGCGGTTCGCAAAAATCTGATAAAGACCATCAACCAAATCGGTGGTAGTAGTTCTAGCAAAAATAGCACCTTAAGCAGCGACACCTTCAATCCTTCCATTCTCCGGAAGACTGGACAAGAAAACGACGCAAAGGAGACCGGAAAATCCGAGGAGCCAGCTGAAGAGAGATCCTCCATCTTTGCCTCCATTATGGATCATGTTTTTCGTTCACGGATAACCAAAAGTTCATCCGGAAACTCCCGGAATGGCAATGGCCCTGATTTGGACCAGCTCAACCATAAACACATAGTTGAAAACCATTCCACCGAGGATCAAGAAACAAATTCGTTTTTAAGTGACGTGTCAACTGATCAGACTGTACTTTCTTTAAATAAAACAAAGCCCCATCAAGACTATTCCAAACGATGCTCAACAACACAAAGTTGTTCCAGCTCGGAACGGGATTTCAATAGAATAGGCGGGTCTTCACCAAAAACTAGTGAAAAAAAAATGTGTTCAGGCCATGTTAAGTCCAAATCAATATCTACAATGTGTGACCGTTGTGGAAACCACCGAAAAGTAGAGGATCCCATAATAAAGAAAGGAGATATATTTCATAAAAAGCTCGACGAATCTACAAAACTAGATGAGAATCAAAAAGGAAACGCAATAAGACAGAAACTAGATAACAAAGGAGGTACTCCTGGAAAAAAAGAGTCAATAGAGCAGATGAAATCTCCTAAGGTAGAAAATTACGAAGAAGAAATGGATAACAAGAAAAGAATTCAAATTCCAAAGCGGAACAATATAAAAAGGCAATCCATCCATACAATATTTCAAAGAAAAGGTCGAAGAATTTCTTTTTCGCATTCTAGCTCATCACAAACTCATTGCAAAACTGATCAATGTGTAAGACATGTTCCCAACATTATACAAACTGAAAGAAAGGAAAGTAAGATAAAACCGAGCAATAAGCCATTAATAGTTAATAATCAGCCTGTAACAAAGGTTCCATCAAGTACAAATTCTGGTAGAAAAGAAAAGGAATCCGTTGAAGACAAAGTGGCTGGCAGAGATGCGAATTTGACCAAAGCGCTTTTACCGGTAAACAGTTTTAGATTATGTAGGCATAAAGATCAGTTAATCTCCTGGAGTGTGGTCAAAACCTTCGAGACAGTTTCCCACGTATGCGCTGTCATCCCCAAGCTCCATATCGCGTCCTTTGTAATTGACTTGGTTGATACGAGTAAAGGTGTTAAAGGCTACATAAAAGAAAGTTGCCTTACAGATCGACCTTTCATGTCGCTCTTCGAATTTCGTAGGCCTGACATTGATCCCAGCGAACTGGAATCTCACCGAGATAAAGCGGGAATTGCAGATGATGAAAGCGGACCAGAAACTCCGGTTCCCCATCTTGCTACTCCTAAAGGATTTAGCCGATCTATAAAGCAACGAAAAAAACGCAAAAATCCCTGTCTACCGGTCTGGCCAGCCCATCCACTAAAATACCGAAGCCGCAAGATCCAGTACGAAGAACTTGAATTGTCATTTGACATGCAACCAAATGAAATGATAGAACCCAACGAATCCTTTATGCAACAAAAAAAGAGGATTCAAACGGAGGAAATTATTACCAGCATATACGATGATCAAAAGTTCTCCCAGTCGGATATTTTTTGGGACATGAGTGCAGAGGAAGAAGCAAAGGCAAAACCAATAAAACTAATTAAGGGTAACTCATTATTTTTGAATAGTAATAAACCTACCCAGTCGGATATTTTTAACACTCAAGACGAACGGACGAAATGGAATACTTCGAAAGTAGATTTAGAAAGTATAGGAAAAGAACCCAAAGAAAAGAGTTTGGGAATAATACCCAAGAACCCTGTCATTAAAAAAATCGATGACAATCATTTCAAGGAACAAAATCCGAGAAAAGAGAGCGAAATTTCACAAATTCTTTTCAATCAGGTGGTTCCCATAACCGATCCCCATTTCACATCTTCAAAAGTGAGCGATAGAATAAGAAAACAAATAGACAACTCGCTGCAATTGAAGCTCAAAAAAATGATGACTAAGCCGATAAAACTGCTAACATCGACTGAATCGTCATCAGTTTCAAAATTTTTGGAACCATTTTCAAATAAATTGGCTAGTACAGAAGAAAAGGATCAAAACTCTTTGCGGAACAGTTTGTCACTGAACCCAAAAACAAAAAGAGATGATTTTTATGACTCTTCGAAAGGAACAAAGGTTTTCAGCCACGCTGCAGGTATAACTCCTTCCAAAGAAACTGAAGTTGATAATTCCGAAGCTCCCCTACCAAGCACATTAACAAGTATTTTAGAGCCGACTTTAATTACCAATTCCCAAAAAAATGTTCCCTTCCAAAAGCCACTGCGTCTTATAACCAACATTACCAACTCGTCATCCTCTAGTGACTTTGAATCGAACCACATTTCTACGGGGTTAGAAACTGATTCCGATGCACCCTCGGAGCCAAAAATCACGCACAGAACAACTGAATATATAGGTTTACCAGCGCTAAACTGGCAAGTAATTTCTCTGGGACTAGCCAAACCAAGCGAATCTATTGAGGGTCCTTTGGAATCAACGGAGGAAGAAGAATATGTATGTCCTGTTTACATGTGCATGGATCGCCTGAAATTTAAAACATTCGCTTCCCACTTCGATCGATGTCATAAACATAAAGGTGAACAGAATGGATTACCGCAAGAATATTTTCATCGAGTGGTGGAAGGATTACCGAAGCAGTTCTCATTCGACGGAGACCTGCTCACCAAAGGAAACTCTTTTGTGTCCCTTCTGTATTACAGCAGTTTAACAAAGGATACGTAAGTTGAGAGCCCCTTCATACCAATTCCCTTGTAATAAATCCACAAACAGCTCTTCTAGATCACTACCAATTCGAGATTATCCCCTGGCGTTAATAGCTGCTCCTCAAACGGTAAATGATGAACCATCAACTCGAATTTTCTTCTGGTTGGTGGGTTTTCCCTCGAGCACGAAACTTCTCGCCAAGCTCACAGTCTACGACCCATTGGAACATTTTGGTCGGAGTAGGATCATAAAGCCCCGAGATTTATCGCAGAGCCAAGACCCACTAGGGTTCGTTGCAAATTCTAAAGATCACTTGCTGATAACAGTTCCACACAAGAAACGAAGACGGTTTCAAATAACTGTGGTGATAGATGAATTGTAAATTTTAGTTATTAAAATTTGAATATTTTCTTTATACTCGTTTATATGAGCATGTTAAGCATGTTGGGTGTCAGTATGTTGTTAAAAATACAACAAATGAATTACCCATATTTGGTTTCTCCCACAAAACGACAGTTCAAAAACGAATAATAGGTTGTATATTTTTTAATAAAACGTTCGAGCAAGAACTAAAAAACGCTCAAATATCTCTCACATCAGATCAGAATTGCCTAGCTTTATTTATATAATAGTTAATTGCGTGTTACACTACTAATTTCTTTAAGTTGTTAGTTCGCTTTAATTACATGTAGAGTAAATATTTATGCACATAAAGACGTATGCGCTCACATCTACGTACTCGCTATGATTATTATCAATTGCAATCGTTTCTTGCACTCGCCCAGTGCTCCACTGTATACATTTACAAACATAGGAATACAAATAAGTAATATTTAGTTTGTTTAAGGGCTTGAGAACGTACGTGGCAGAACAAGGCCTAAGAAAACCATAATTCTCTGGGTCAACGTAATGTTGCATTTAGGAAATGTTGTGTGTCATGTCTGTACGCCTTACGTACATATTAAATGTATAACTTCAAACTTAAGTTCATTTAAAGCGGATTCGGAAAACAGCGATCGGAAACTACGACATCGATCGTATTTTTGTGGGACAATAATTCGCTGTACTTGGAATCGTGTATATGCTGATGTACTTGATGTGTGGTTTTTGTTCTATGTCTTATCAATTAGCTAGATGTGGATCATTAAATATTAATATATATTGTGGTTTCTCCATCTTAGTTGCCAGCAACGTTTTGCACTTCACTTGAACTGATTATCTCATAATCTTTACTAGAGCTCTCCGAGTCGGATCCCGAGTTGCGTGGGGTTCTGAAAGCAAAAAAGAGGGAATTACTAACAATCGATGTGAGCTCATCTAAAGTATAGATGGTACTGTAAGAACAATGTGTATGATGTTAAATGTAATAAAGAGGATGCAAAACTTACTCTGCTTATACTTCAAGCTTTGATGTGAGAACTTACGATTTCAGATTTTATTTACTTCGTAACGAAATCTGACATCATATTTAAAATACCTCGAGTTTCACCACAAGTCCAACATGGGTCATTAAAATGAATTTTCTAATAACCATTTACCAATAAAATGAGCCTCCACAGATCACGAAACAAATGTATATACAAATGACATGCTCCGTTAACGAAATAAAATTGTTATGAACGCAAACAAAAAATTGGATTAATGCATTTTAATCATACAATATTATTTATTAAGGAACAAAGAGGTTTACAGTTAAAAGCTAGAGTTAATGTATGTATCTTGCGCTTTTCAATATTGTTTTTTTCCAAAAGAAAAAACAAAACAAAAAGCTCGACAGAAATTAAACAAATCATAAATACAAATTCGAGCAACAATGCAGGAATCCTAGTCATAACTGAGCGGATCCTTCTTACCCAGCTTTGGAATCCTTGGGCTGCGTCTGCGGATCCTCTTCGTCGACATCGTCATCCTCGTATTCATCGGCTCCCACCTTGCGACGCTTGCGGATCTCCATGTCGGTGTCGTGTTCTTTGATCAGCTCGATTTTCTCTGGCTCTAGTGTGGATACCTCCGCATCTACATCACCATCGCCATCAGCATCCCCATCCGCATCTACGGCAGTGTCCTCGGCATCGCTGTCCTTCTCCTTTTTCTTGTCCTTTGATTTGGACTTTTTGTCGGTCTTGGCGGACGAGCTATTTGCCTCACTGTTATAGTTGCTCTATTGTTATCCAAAATAGAGGTTAGTATGTTTACTAGCAAATAATTATTATGTCAAAACAAACCTCATAAAGCGGCCAGAAAGAGGCGAAGAAGCCCACATCCTCGGTCAGATTGGGGAAGATCCAGAAGTGCAGCTTGCCACCGGTTAATGCCCATACGATAGTGAACACAATAAGACGCACCACGGTCAGAGCCAGAATGAAGACAAGGAAGCCGGCCGCCGCAACGGAGAGATAGTATACACCCTTACGTAGCAGTGGTGGCCACAGGGGGAACAGGCAAATGCCCACGGCTCCCAGCAGCAGGATGAAGCCGAATATCCAGTAGTGCAGCGGAATGGGGTCGTAGATCCACACGTACGCTTCGGAGCCATCTACGAAGATCTGCTCGGGATGCATGTCCAGGCGGATCTTGCGCTTCTTCTTCTCTTTCTTTTCTTTTTCGTTGCCAGAGGCGCCTCCGTCGCCCTGACCATTTTCGGCCTCAGGATCGGTGTCCTTCTTGTCGTCCTTTGCCTTGTCCTTCTCTTTTTCCTGGTTCTTGTCCTTGTCTCCCTTCTTGTCGCCACTTGACTTGCCCCTGATCTCCTCCAGCGTGACGGGAACCTTCTTAGCGCGATGGAAGAACTTGTGCTCCAGCATCACGTCCAGAAACTCGATCACCTGCTCACGGGTGGTGAAGAGCGGGCTGCTGCCCTCGGCGAACTTAGATTTCATCAGAGCATCGATTGCCTTGCTGGAGGTAAAGTACTCGACGATGTGGCTCAGGAACTTAGTCTTCTTCGTCTTGACGTTTTTCTTCAGCCACTTAGCCACGTTCTTCTCGTCCTTCGAGGGCTTGTCCACCTTCTGGGCACCCGGTTCGGTGTACTCCTATATAAAGAAAAGAAAAGAGTTGGAAATTTAGGTCAGAAACTCACTTTCACGATCAATTGGTTCGATGGGGTCTACAGGCGAATATAGGCCACGACACCAATTTCGTATTCGTCACACTAAGGCCGTTGAGATGGCTTTATTATACGTGGGGTTTTGCCAAGTACCGTGCCATCGTCGTAAATCTCCTGCTCCTGCTCCTCCTCCTCTTCGAAATACTCCTCCTCGCCGCTCATTTTGCGACTTAAGAATATTCCTTAATACTGCAAACTTAATAAAACGAAAAACTAGTCTGGAATCGGCAGTAGATTTTCTTGGTCGTGACGTGTTGCACTCGCTCCGAGAGTATAGAAAGTATTGAAATCTTGACTCTGGTCAAACGAGCTGGCGATCACCACAACAAAACAAACACAGGCGCACACCATTACATGGATAGAAGCAGGGGCGGATTAGGAGCAAAAGTAAAGGGGATGTTGAAGTTCTTTTAATTTAAATGGTGCAATTTTTAAGCAAGGAAATTCCTTAAAATATTGTTTGCCATTACGTGTACATGTTTTTGAAACTTTCTAGGGGGCCCCCTCTGGATCCCCGCCTGTGGGCAGTAAGCACGCGTACTCAAACTTTCCCCAACAACAACAACCAGAGCAGCTGATAAGTGGGGCTGCACCTGACATGTGTGGGTAATGAAAGAGCGAGAGAACACGAGAACGGGAGAGTAAGATCGGCTTACAAGACGGGCTTACAGGGTTGCCAGATGGATAAAAGCCTACAAGCTCAGCTGTTTTAATTTTTGTTGAGTTAATTGATCGAAAAGTAAATAAGCTGAAATATCCAGACCGTGCTAAATACGCAGTCAAGAGATTTTCCACAAGCAGCTAATTATAGATGTTTGCGGGCGGGGGGCGAGTTTCGGGGTTGTCAAACGTAAAACACGGCCAGCAATGAACTTGCCCCCCACATATACATATAAACATATGCTCCGTGTGATCTCGCATATCAGCGATTCGTTTTAAGTTTCTTTTTTCTGCGTTCACGTTTTTTTCCTCTTTTTTTATCAAAACAAAAAACAAACACTTTCGGCATGCCAATTGGACTGTGGCACCCACACAAGCGCCTTCTCAATGAGGCTGTCCAATTGAAACCTCTATGCACTTACATCCTTGCGACGACGGGTGCGCTTCTTTTCCGACATTTTCGATTTAGTGCGATGAACTGCTGACTCGAATTTGATTGATTTCAATAATTTTGATAATAATTCTGCCACACACGCACCACATAAACATAGACGTTAGAGATGGAACAAATATCGATGTTGGTTCGGTACTATCGATGTTTCCAGAAATTTGTCAACATCGATGACTTCTTGGCAACCATCGATTAATCACTTGATCTAAAAAAGCGGGGAAATTTATCAAATTTGACTCGATTGTTTTGAGGCATACATAGCCATCCGGTCCAGGAATTTCTAGTTCACCCTCTGATATTTCGAACTGAAAATAGCAAAAACATCATAAAGGCCAGAGCCAGTAAAACAAACAAAAACTAGTAATTTACGAACTTTTCACCAATTCTTTTCTCAGGCAAGTTCAAGCATTAGCCACTTATTCGATAATTATTATTATTGCTTTTTCACAATTCTTTTCAATATAACTCGTATTTCATATTTTCTGAATATATATTTTTTAATTTATGTATTGGCCTTGCCATAGGATTCGAGCATCAAGCTGGACTTGACTTTGAAAACATTTTCATGATTTTGTTGGGTTTTAATTTTAATATAAAAAGAAGTCTTGGTAAAACCAAAACAAATATAAAGACACGTCAGGCCTTCAGTTTAAGCCACTTCGTAACCGAATCTTTTATTAAAATCTGCAAAAAGTACGACGTGCTTTAAAAAGGGATTCCAAAAATAAAAAAATCCTTTTATTCAAGTACAAGGGTCAGAAGATGACCATAAGGAGCAACAAAACCTCTACAAAGATATCTCATAACCCAATGAATATATTGATATAAATAAATAAAAATAAATTTGTTAGAAACTGCAAGGCAAAAAGAACTTTCATTTGCCGTTTTTCAACTATTGCGAAATGGTTTTTAATACCTTTTCTAATTTATTTAAACAAAGTAAATACAATTAAAAATAGTTGGATTGCAGTCACATTTTTCACATTAAATCACCCGATATAATCTAGTTTTATTTTTAAGTCGAGCAAATGCCAATGTAAACTCAAACAATATAATTTCCTTACATCCTCTATTAAAATTATCTTTTTATTAATCTTTGTTTGACAACAAAATACAGACTAAATAATAAGTAAAATATATTATTTATTATATATTCTTATTATTATTATTAATAATGACCCTCGCCAATGGAGCGATCAAAGTTTACGCTATTTTGTTTGCATCCAGTTGTAGATATTGTTTTTTTTTCTGTTGTAGTGTGTTCTGTTTTGTTTTCCGTGTCAGTTTGTGTCTTGTTGTTGTATAAAGGAAAACTAAAACTAAACCAATCTGTTGTTACCGCCACGCCAAATATGACTGCAATTTAAATCTGTATGATCGTTAAGCTTACTCTTTATTCTTAGAAAAAATGTGTAAATGTATACATGAAAATATAAGATTGGAGTAAAAGCACAATGAGGGGAAGTCGGGTCGATACATTCGGGGACCATGCTCAGTTTGGTATTCTACATTGTGAATTGTGTTTTACAAGTATGCTTTGTACATTTAATTCGGATGCGGTATTTTATACATTTTAAAATTATGTATGCACAAACGTTAAATAATATTTGGGAAGCAACATTTTAAATACAGGAAATCAGAAACACGGCTCCCCTCCCTTCCTCCTCTCTGGGATTGCGTTTCACCCGTTAAAAGATACAATAAAACTTTTTAAAGCCGTATAATGCACAATTCATTAAAGGGATCTAGGAAAGGGTAAGTTCTTCATGCGCCAGCTCTTGAACACCCTCTCCCAGCACACTTTATTGGCTCCTGCGACTCAGGCAGGACGACGAGGTCAGACCGGGTAGACCAGAGATGATTGTCGGCGATTCAACTCGAATCGGCAAGCCGTTTTGCAATTTACGCTTTACATGTGGGGAGATTGGGAAAGATACGAAAGGTTAGGATGGCGCTGCCAACCGAAAGGACATACAAACGTGGCCAACGGCTTGAGCCAATCTGTGTGCCTTGCGATCGAACGCCTCTGTCAGTTTGGGTAGGTTGGTGGGTAAGTGAGGGTTATGTGTTACGGTTGTGTTTTTGTGTTGGTCAGTGTCGGTTCTGTTCTGTTCGGTGTACGCTTTAAACTAAATGATAAAATATAGTTTAAACGTTAGTCGTGTTAACTAAATGTTAAAATCTGGATCTTACGAATACGGCGCTCGAATCGTGTTCACTGTAACCCAAGCGCTTGGTGTGCTTGAACACCTCGTTGGTGATGCTGGTGACGGGCATGGACTGGTCCAGATTCTCCGCCATGTTTAGCACCAAACGCAAGTCGCGTTGCATGTGGCTCAAAGGCTGCTGCGGATTGAAATCGCCCTTGGCCATTTCTGCAAGAAAAATAGATATAATATATTTAAATTGTACCTCAGTTTTAAAAGTATTTCAGTAAACCGAATAGCCTAGTTCATCGGCATGGAATTGGTTTTAGACATACCTTTGCCCTTGGCCAGCAGCATCGGTGATTTCATTGATGTCAAATCGAAAATGTCTATTATATCATTTAACGAAATTGAAAAACGATCAGCTGCAAAGAAAATATATACGTTATAATTTAAGAAACCCTTAGAAACATCAGAATATCAAACTTACCAAGTGCTAACGCCTCAGCCAGCCCGACCAGACTCACTCCCAAAATGGTTTGCAAAATTAGGTTCACTTTACAGGCATTACCGATATCTGCTAGATGTGAACAAAGGACAAATTTAATAAATTGTTCTGTCGAAAATATCATTGGACTATTCTGCACTTACTCCCTAAGAAGAATGTGTTCTTTGCGATGGTCTTGAAACACGAGTGGCACTCCTCGAACACTGAGCGATCGCCACCGGCGAGGATGATGAGCATGCCATCCGCTGCCTCTTGTCGCGATCCGTGAATTTGTGCCTCCAGATAACGACCGTTGCACTGCTTGATACCCTCACCAATATCCAACGAGGTGTCCGGATCAATGGTAGACATTTCCACGTAGGCCTTATTGTTTAAATCCTTCAGCTGCAGAACGCCACAGTTGCCAAACACGAGCTGAGCACAGATAAGAAGAGTATATTATTAACGAGAGTTGAATAACACCACCTCAAGGTTTTCGTCGGCAGTTAAGTTATTCCACATCGTATTTCCCCATTCTTTTGTATTTTAATTTAAGTTAAATTTATTCAGCTTTCAACAACCTTTCTCATGCTAAGAGAACGTGATTTTATTGAGCCAACTACAAAGAGCATAAGACAAATTTGACTGAAATATATGTGAAAATGTAAATGTATTATGCATTTTCAAAGCCTTGTTTCTAATAAGAATATATATATTAATAACGTCATAAATAAAACAATTTTTTCTCTCTTCCACGAGTTAATACAAGTTAATTAAAGGCAAAGAAGTTTTGTGAATTTTCATACATTGTTAGATCTTTCTTTATGTAAAATAGAAAACATATTTTTTTAATTGTGCAACTTAACAATTTATTGATATTTTCTATCGCAGCTACTTTGTATATCGTAAGATTGTGAAAAAGCCAAAATCTTATTTCTGAAAATTTGATGTTGAAATTTTCGGTTAAATTTGCGATACACAATATTTGAACGGATACACCCGCTGCCGGGGTATAATGAAAATAAAGTTACTCAAAGAAAGACATTTTTAAATTTGTCATTACCACGTATTTTCTTTTCCACATAATACCCAGAATTAATATGAATTTTTGACTTACATCCTTAGCGCCCTTGGGATCCGACACACAGCAGAAGATAACGTCGGCCGCCTCTACCACATCCATTGGAGTGTCTTTAACCTCGGCACCGGCCTCCGCAAAGGGCTGGCACTAAAGAACGCAAATGTCATAAGTTTTAGCTTTCATTTTACTTCCGTGGACACTCACCTTGTCGATGGTGCGGTTCCAAACCACAACCTTGTGCCCCGTGTATATTAAGTCCTTGACTATGGTCGATCCCATCATGCCAAGACCCAGAAAGCCGAAAGTTTGCTCTGAGGGCACGATTTCGCGATCGGCCAGCGTGTTAGAACGCGAGCTCATGTCGATGACCTGGGTCTCTGGCCGAGTGACCACCGGTCGGTCGAGCAGTGCAATTGCATTAGGTGCCCGCTTGGCTGCCAGCGAGGCCAACAGTGCGTCAGTCTCGACCCGACGTCTGGCCGTGGGAGTGGAGCTAGCGCCGTCAATTCCGGCATCCCGCACTGCTTCTCCGGAGGCAGCCCGCCTTCCTCGCTTGGCATTCGATGTCCCACTGGGGGTCTGTTGCGCGGAGATGCGCCGTTTCTGTGCGGATTTGGTCGCCGATCCCTTGGCCGACTTGACCGACACGGCGGCCACGGACTTAGCCTTAGGCGTCCGCTTGGCACTTGTCTTCGTTGTGGCCGCCGGTGTCGTCGCGGGTGACGCCGAGGAATCTGCATTGTTTTCCACATCCAAGCCCTCGCCCTCATCAGGGCTGCCCACCACATGGGCCACCACTCCGTTGTTGCCATCGGCGGCTGCCTCGTCTCCCATATTCTCCTCGCTGTCTAGGCCATCCCGGATCTTGTCGAAATCGGCTTCGGTGGCGTGATTGGGCGCACCGCAGCTTTTGTTGACCTGCTCGTCTACCTCGGCGGGGTCGTCAATATACTTTTCGATGTCCGTCATGGCGTGCCGGAATGCAGCGGGCTTGCTCACCTTGGCCAGTTCATCCTTCCAGGGCCCTTCGAAGGGCTTAATGTTGTTCTCCTCAATCCAAGCACTAATGAGAATCACATATTATTTTAGCTCACTTGTGTTTTTCCAGTTTTACTCACAAATTCCTCGATCCGAAGAAAAACACGCACTTGGTATTCGCCCGGCGTTGCTGGCTAAGCAGATCAAGGGGTGGCTCGACAATCTATAGGGAGTCATGGTTATTAAAACTTACTTTAGTTACTCTTCCGAGATGGATCAAATTTGGCGAAACTTAAATATTTAAAGTTTACATTTCATAAAATTATTATATGATAAATAACAAATTTGAGTCTCACAATCTTTGAAAAAGTTAACGCAATTAGAAAAATATTAATTTCTCAAAGATTTAAAATAACATTTTTTGATTATTTTTAAAATGTACTTGTCTTTCAATACTCATCAGTGAAATTAAAAAATAAATATATCATTTTTCACAATGCTTATTTGGAAGTATGAAGTTATAAAAACTAGTTTTAAACTAATAAATGAAAAACACATTTTTTAAAACTGAATTGTTCACTTAAATGATGAACTACAAAGTAGTATGTTCTCTTTGCTTAACAAATTATAAAAAACCAATTGGTATCAAAGGTCTAACAGAAGGATTTATAATTAAAAACAAATAGGCACAAACTGTTCACTAAACTTGATCGAGTGTTCTTTGCAGGAAAATATCCTTGGCAACGCCTGTTTAAAATCCATGCTCTCCGCCCGTCGACGCGCTTCAATTTACTCGCTCTCCTCCTCCTCTTCCATTACATGCTGCCTTCTTGCGGCTGTACACGATCGAAAGCTATGGCCTATAGCCCCCGATAGCGGCCCCATTCAAGAGGAGACCATTTCCAGTCCGCCGGCAGCAACAACAAAGCGTGTGCAAGTGCGTGGCCGTTGGCAGAGACGCCAGCAGAGACGCCGGCAGAGCCATGGAAAAGTACAGTCGAAAACAAACACAACAACATGGCAGAGGATTCGGCAGCGACGCGACGTCGACGCGGCGTAAACATTGCGATCGCTTACCATTCCCGGCCACGGAGTGAAGCCCTTCATTTTGGCCCTGGAATAAAGGAAATGCTATTAGGAAAGTCTATTAGAGGACTGGGGGAAGTTCGTATTGGGTCATATTATAGCCGCACAAAAAAGGCGCGCGCGGCGAAAAAGCGCCAACGCAGAGATGTCGACGTCGCCGCCCGGAATTTACACATGTAACTCGTATTAGCTCCATTTTTGTTGGAACTCTATGGGTAAAGCCCTGCGTGGCGGTCGAAAAACCAACGCTAATTGCTTTTTTATGCACACTTCACTGCTTTTTTTTGGAGCGCCAACGGTGCACGATTGAGGTTATGTGTTTGCTTTGGTTTCTTGGGTCAGCAAGAGTTGGGGAATCACGGAAATCTTTGGGGGTCCTTCGTCCTGGCTTACCATATCAGATCCTTGGGTTTGTAAATAAATTTCTCCGCCGTATCGCCGCCCGACAGCGACAGTTTTTTGTTCTTTGACATTATGTTGTCAAGGCGTATGTTGAACTTGGTTATTTTGCTGGCTTGGGCGGACGGAGCACACGAACTTATGTTTATCTTGGTCGGAGCACAAATCTCGGCGTCGGGGGTCAGTGAATTTCGGATATATTTGCTAGCAAGTCACCCGTATTTTTCTTTTTTTCGCTTTGTGTGTGTGATGCGCTGCCTAACCGATAGTATTTGCTCGGATAATACGATAGCTGGCGGGCGCCATTTTGACTGGCTATCGGCTAGTGTTGGAAAGGGGCAGCATTGTCACGTCACACAAACGGGCTGCCAACTTGACTAAAATGCTAAATTCGGTACGAATTTAGTTCTTATATTTATTAACAAATTATTATTTTTATGGGTCTTTCAAAAATAAAAATGAATCAACCTATTATGAGTTGTATTTTTGTGCACTAATCATTGAATATCAGAAACAGAATTAAAGAAAGAGGAACTAGATCTTTCAATATATAAAATTTTACTAAATGTCATTTGTGTTGACTAAAATTGTTAAATTTTATAATAATCAATATTATCTTTGAAACTAATGGTTTAAAGACTTACATTTTTTTTTATTTTGGAACTTCATTTAAAAACAAAAGTAAAAAAAAAAACATTTTTAATTTCAACGTCTTCAATATGTAAGATTGTAGCTCTAAGAGTATCATTATGACTTAGTTTTTAATTACTAGACCTATTTTCATAAGCGAAAATAAAATAACGATACATTATCATAATTTCTTGTTATTGTAAAACAAAACTTTCGTAAAGGTTATATAAAATACCCTTGAAAGAAAAATAAGTTGAAAAATGTTTATATCCTTACAGAGGGATTTCATATTATAGTTTTTTTTAACAATTTTAGAATTACGGTTTTACTTTTCATAAAAGTCGGACGACAATATCATTTAGCTTCATTGTTTTTAAGCATCGAAATCGAAATATAGATTATTTAATTTTTGTAACAGCTGCATCAGAACATAAACTTCGGCTGGACGAAGTTAGCTTGTTTTCTTGTTTTATTTTAAATATGTTTTGAGATATTTTCAAAATATAATTTAAGCGTGACCCCACGAATTTATTTTTTATCCCTGTGATCTTATACTCGAAAACCTAAAAGGGAACCTCTAGTCAAGTTAAATGAAGTGCCGCTCTAAGCCGCATATAAATTACCACACGTCCTCCCCCAACTCCACTTTTCTCTGATATTCAACACTCAGCCATATAATCCTCATAAATATGAAACAATCAAATAAAAAAGGAATAAAAAGCAAATGCTGCAGGGGTTGCGGGGAACATGCGACAACCCTGCCCAGTCAACCTTTTATGGGCGACCTGGTGCCCGACAAACAAAAGGAAAAAAAGGGAATATTGTGGCCGTTAAAGGGGTAAAAAGTTGCATATATATTTGTTAGAAAAAGAAACCCTACTTTTGGGGTAAATAATGGCTGGCAGTTTGTTTTGCAATTAGCAGGAACGGGATGGGTGAAAAGGATTTATTGGGTCCAGATTGGCATCAATTATATAGGAAAATATGTACTGCTAAGTTTGGTCGTTGCCACGTGGGTACCTGTGATAATATCAAATATGAAGATGCGGTACAGATACTTTCTACATGTTTTCTATTGAAAACATTTAAAGCGTTGATTTTATTATATTTAATAATCAAGATAAAACGAAATCATCGAGGCACCATTTTTCATTTGTTTTTAACTGATCAGTAGTGGGGAATCGCAGACATTTCAAATCCGATTAAGTTGCTATCGAACTTCTTGTCACCTCTAAATTGTCAGACTTCGATAAGTTTTTAAAAGATATTATCCGTCTGATCAACAACATATAAAAAACAAATAATTTAACGAAAACCTTAATAACAAAAAATATATATTCTTGTTGTCAAAAAAACAACAGTAAATTAATTTTACAGTTTTTTCAATTGTTGTTAGTCTGTAAAAAAGTGGAATATAAGAGAAACTAAAGCATCTGAAATTGTATTCCTATCGCCGAAGAATGAAATGAGATATATTAATTGCTTGTGCCTAATCAAGTACCCAAATACAGTACTGCTTGATTCTGCGAATTGCCTCAAATCTCAAATTCTTCGACGAGTTTGTTTACTCCAATCCAAATGCGCTGACGCTTAAAAAAGGAGCTCTCACACACAAGTGAGTATGTGTTTGTGGGTGTTTGGAAGTGCCTATTGGAAGTCAGTCATTTCCCGATCTTCCTTCGAAAGGTCTTTCCGTTCTGAAAAAATCATTCCGTTCTGAAAAAATCATTCCGAATTGCTAACCGTCCTAAAACAATGTTCTCTTTTAAGTTACATTAATCAACGTACAGATCCTGTGATTTTCATGAACCTAATATTCTGTAGAGCAACTTGATCTGGCAAAAGTAAGTTCCTAAACTTTTTTGTAACCAATTTGTTCGCTAATCAAATATTTGGTCCATTTGTCTGAAGGATATATGTAGTCGGCCGTATTTGATAAATTTCCATTGCCCTTTAGAATTTACAATTTAAATTATATAGTTATAAATTATAATATAAATTTAAATGCTATTATTCGTTAAAGTATATTCAAACAACAATACTTTTATTGTATAAAACGCTTTCAAAAACTAGAAATGTTGTTGAGATAAAACCAGAGAAAAACTCTTTTTTAATAATAAGGAACATTTTTTAAATAAATATTTGACCACTTTATCGACCAGTTTATATATACAGAGAACACTGTTCTTAACCGCAAGACAAATTTTTTAAAAGTTTCTTCAAGGTAGCTTTAAAGTTTGTACTGAATATAGCTTTTAAAACAGAAAGACCTGCTTATGTATATACATACAAATATCTACCCGCCTTCATTTGATTAATTTACTAGTCCGCATTTTATTTTCAGATCTCGGCTTGCAAGGTGTCTAATGTTCGTATCCAAAAATAACTAATGCTATTTTAATATTCAATAACAAAACTTTATTTGCAGTTCTTCAATTAAAATGATGTACAATGGCAGTAATTCCAACCGCAGTTCAAGTGAGTAGCCCGACTTTTACTTAAATAATTCAATAATATACTTGGCTGAAGCATTTGAAAAGGTTTTTCGATCGATCCCTGATGATCCGATTTACATATAAGCTTCGCTCATAGATGCTTGGATCAACCACTACATTGTTCTTTGATTTTTTATGATAACCCCTATTTTTTCTAAGGGATTATTTGGGGTGGTTCGAGATTTATATCGGAGTATTTCCAATGCCCCGACAACCAATCCCCTATTTACTTGCGCACATGTTAAATTAACTCAAATAATGTAAAACGATTGCCTTGCATTGCATTTATTTAAGTTGGCTTAGAGAACAGCTCGGGCTGTTAAAGTGTTGATAAAACAACAACTTAGAGCACGCCCCACTGCCGATTGTGGAGCACCACTTGCCACTCCCAAAGGATGTTGAGAAGGGGGCGGAGCCACTGCAGCAGGATCTAGTGCAGCGCAAACAAACAGCAAATAGGCACAAGGACCTTCTTACTTGCGGCTTAGCCAGTTTCTTTGTTTTGCCATTTGGATGCTGCAGTTGCCGTCGCATTTGCTTTCTCTTTTCGCAACTTAAATTAGCTAATTTACTCTCTATACTAAATTACAATCCGAATTCACAAATTTAATCCTGTGGCTGGTTCCACAATTTTTGGCTCGCTTTGGGCAAAGTTTCTGACGCGTGGAAATCGCAGTAATTTCCACATGACTGCATCGGGAAAATGCAAGCGCACTTAAAGCTCAAGTTTATTTATTCTTTTTTTGCAGATAAAAAAATCATTTATCAAATAAATTTGAGGAATTAAGAAAACCGTTTTAGAAGGTTGAGCGGTATTAAATATAAATGCTTTCAAATTTTTGTTATCCTTAGCTTCAAGTCTAATCCAATTATTGCACTATAAATCGATTGTACCATTCTTGTAGATGAAAACATGAAATATTAGCATCAGAAAGAATTCATAAGAGCGAAATTAAAACACATATTCAAATTAAATAAATATATGTTGTGATTTATGTTCTAATATAAAAGCTATTTTGCACTGACGCCTATTATTATTATTATTGCTTAACCATATTTATTTCAGCAGGTTATAATTGAACACTTATCTTTTGTTACTAATGTTTGATTGTATATTTACTTACAATTAATATTAAATTTTTATTTCGATCCCAATATAGGCAACCTAGAAGAATCCATTTTGATTACACATTATGTGAATCCCCAGAAATTCAGCTATGTTAAATGCAAAGATGTGCAGGCCCACGCTGTGTTCCTTCTTCAAATGGAGGGGCTTTTAGCAGGTTACTGCACCAATGGAAGGTCGATGCAGGTGTTCCAGGATAATCAGGCAGTTATTGTGCGATACATGCCTTGGAGTCCGCCCAAGCTCCTAAGGGGTGTGGTGCGTAGGCGCCAGGGCGAAAAGTACTTGATTTGGGTGCACGATTACGGATTCACCTTATGCTGCTCTGTTGGGGATTTGTGGCCGCTTCCTGAGGATTTGCGTTGCAGTTTCTGGGACATCAACGTGGGCGGAGTGGCATTTATCGCTCCCCATAATGGCAGTTCCTGGTCCCGAGACGCAAAACGAACCTTTGACAATCACCTGGAGGAAGCTATCCAGCTCACTTTTAAAGTCTTATATCAAAGTCCAAAGAATCTAGATTTCGGGCAGCTTATGTTAAAAACCCTCGCGACTGAGCCTTTTAGGGATGCTGCAATTTTTCTAATTGATCGAAAATATGCCTGTCACAATGACAAAAAGATTATGTTGATGGACAGCTCTAACGATGATTTCAGCTTTGAGCTGGCTGAGATCAACGACTTGGCGATAAAAGCACACCCGCGCGTTAAAAAAATGTTTGAACTGGTGGCTGGTAGCGCATTAACCCAAAAGTCTCTGAAACTCCAGCCCGGTATTAAGACCTTCCTGGCTGATCAAAATACCATTTACACCGATACAGCTATGGCCAACTATAACACAGTAGAGAACACTGACTCCTTATCCAAAACGTCAAAGGAAAAAGCTGGTAATAAAAACGATTTGAACAGGTCGAGACGGAATTTGACCCGCCCGGAGACTCAGCACAAGAAGCTGGACGGCCTACTGGAGTATCGCAACCCCTTACTCATACCGGAAACCGGAAAAGTCCTGAGCAAAATTCAAAGCATCCGCGACAATTCCGTCGAAACTGCTCTTAATAACACATCAACAAAAATTGATCAAGAAACTATGATATCAGATAAAACTAACCTATTGGAGATAATAAGGGAGACAGAAACCAAATCCATAAGAGTTCATAATCTATCTGATTGTTTGTTTAAGTTGGAGACACCACCAGTTAGGCAAATATCAGAGCAGTCAATCCATGAATGTGTTTCTTACCAACCGAAACCCTATGATGTAAAGAATACGGCGGCAGCATCATCCTTTACATCGTCCGCTTCTTCATTAGCACCTTCGTCTGTATCTGCAAATGGGAATCGAACTGACCAATCGAATTCTCAATCAGAACCCTTATGCATGAATAAACTCGATCGCATTTTTTATGACATGCTTAGTAAAAAATCCTCGGGAAGTTTTATGCCGAAGAATGCAAACAGAAAAACGAATCCAATTCCCCTAATTATGACAAGAGATTCGGGAAAGAAAGTTGAATCCGTCGTTGGAAACAAGGACATAACCGTTGAAAGCTTGGTGCTAGTCCACAGCCACGAGTCAGTATATCCTGTCACATGTTATAAGGAGTTACCTCTTTGCAAGGAGATCCTAATGGCTATGAATGACCTGTATTTTCACTCACCATTGGAGGCGCAACGGTACGCATGGCCGCATCTCTTGCAGGGCGGATCCCTGATGCTGGTGAATGGCTCGCGAACAGGTCGCTCCTGGAGTTACCTGCCCGTACTTTGCTCGTCGGTGTTGCGTTCCATACAGGATAGTCAACCCATCCGTTGGGAGTCGCTTGCCTGTGGTCCCCTGGCCCTGCTGGTGGTGGATTCCGTGGACAATGCCAAGAAATTGTCCAACCATTGCGACTTCCTGATGAGGAACTACGATACACAGCACCTGAAAGTGGTCAATGCTCATGCTCATTCCATGGCAGATGTGTACTCAATGCTGCTAAACTCGTGCGGCGTTTTAGTGGCAACACCGGCGTATTTGTTAGATATATTAAATGTCGATGAATTAACTCTAGTGGATCCGACTAGGTTAAAGTACCTAATCTTCGATGACTTCGATCGTATGCGACTGGGGAATCCGCAGCTGCTAGACGAAGTGCTCCAGAAAATATATGGCATGGGCTGTCTAACGATGCAGTGGGTCATTGTGGCCCAGCAATGGAATTCGGAGAGATTCAAGAAACTTTTGAAGCGAGCGACCAAACCACTGCTTCTATTCGGAGATTTTTTCACGGCTGCCATGTACGGTGGTCTCAAATTGAAGTTGATTCTAAGAAATTCTGCTTTGAAAAAGAAGCAGCTCCTCAATATTCTGGCGGAACAGGAAGGTCCAAAGAAACGTACATTGATCTACTGCAAAAGTCAGGAGCTGGAGAATTTACAAATTATTTTGACTCAAGCGGGACATAAATGTTTGGGCATTTCAAAAGCAATAAATCAGGTGAGTATTTACAGGAATGAAATTGGATATGAAATTTTTAACTATGTATCAACCAGTTATTGTTTAAATGTGAGTGCCACTTTTAATAGATTATTATCTATATCACCCTTTAGGAACCACACGAGTTGTTGCTGGTCAGTGACAGCCTGCTTCAAAAACAGCTACCTGTGAAAAACATTGAACTACTTATCCACTACAATCTTCCGGAATCCTGGTCTAAGTTTGGCATCCGATTCCACACCATGGCGGACAGCATTCGTAATTATTTTACAACACCGCTTGAAAACGTCCCGCTGTTAGTTACCTATATAATGCTGGACGAGAAGAACTCCAAGGAGTGGTATCGCACCATGAAATTCCTTGAGGATCACGGCGTTGTCACGAACGAGTTGATGTCCAAATTCAATCGCAGTAGCCAGCAGAAATCGGATAATAGTCAACACTACTGTCCATCCCTACTGAGCAGGGGAGATTGTAATTGGAGCGAATGTATTAAGCGGCATCACTACGTTAAAGAAGATTTTCAGTATCCTGGTAGTCCTCTGCAGCAATCAGGAACCATAATTCGCTGTAAATTGTACAAAGCCTACGACGCAGCTCACATGGCCGTCTGGCCCATTAAATATAAGTCCAAAGATTCAACCAGTTGGGTGGATGTGTCCTACCCATCCAGTCCATCGACATTATTGCTTAAAATGAGCTTGGGAGTGCCCCAAAATGTACATTACCCATATCATCTTAACGATGTCTGTTTTGTGCTGCATCACGGACACTTGCGACGGGTAAGAATCGTGGACACCCCTTCCAGACGTCCGGTCACTGTCCAATTTATGGATCATGGCACTGAGCTACTGCAGGTTAAGCCTTGTGAGTTGCTGGTGTGTCCGGAGAAGTTTAAGACCCTGCCACCTCTAGCCCTGGATATTCGTTTGTCAGACCTGGTTGCTGCAGGAGAAGATGGCAATTGGTCGTCGGATTCCTTTCAATGGGTGCAGGAAAGCTTTGGTGCCATTGAAGGTCAGATGATGCAGGTTACCGTTGACTTCGCAATTCTAGATGTGGTCTATGTCTTGGAAATCGCTTTGATAGAGGAGTGCCGAACTATGCAAACGAGTGCCTACAAAACTTTTTTGCGCAAGGAACTGATTCGTCAAGGATTTGCCAAAAGGGATGGTTTAGCCTTCCACGAACTGCGGACCATGTATGAGCACCGGAAACAAGAAATGGAAAATTTGGGTACCAACAAAGAAAATCTTGGTTATTCCAAGTTTAATAACGATTTGGAGGAACTTGAAAAGGAAATAACTTCTTCACCAAATAGAAAAACATCAAGTTCTTCAAGATCTAAAGAAGCACGCCGAAATGAAAGGCCTGATTCGAATTTACTTCCGACACGCCAGGAAAATGGAATGTTCTCAATGATAACAACAGTTAACAGATACATAAACGAGCATGTGTCGGGCAACACCGAAGAAAAAAAAGAACTGTCTTTTAATAAAAATGAAATTAATGTTGATAAAGTTACTCTAAAGGATAGTGAAAAGCAGGAAAAACCAGTCCAGATTGAACACCCGTTAGACAGTTCTACTGCATTACTAAACACTCTGATTCACGAGTTAAACACCAACAACCCTTTGAAGAAACAGCATACGCAACAATTCCTTCACAGCATTGTAAATGAAAAAGAAAATCGGGATATACAACACAACAAATTAAGCGCAAAAGCATTAAATTTGGATAAACCAGTTGAAGAAGGTCCCCAAGATCCTTCAAATGAACAAGTATCGCAATATTTGCAGTGTGCTACTAAAGCGGGGGAGTCAGTGCATCCGAGGGTTAAATGGCACCAGACCCAAACCCGTATCGAGCTTACAATTGAACAGCAAGTGCCAGACTATAATCTTATTCTAGAAGGTAATACCTTGAAATATAGCGTAACAACAACTACTCCTCCCCAGAGATGCATCCTTAATCTGCTGGGCGTGGTAAGGATTGAATCGGTGAAACAACTCGGCTATTGTCTTCAAGTAAAGTTGACCAAGGCTGATTTACTGGTCTACTGGCCAACACTTCTGAACTCGCTCTACGCTCAACAACAATCCCATTGGTTGACCTATGATACGGAGCGGGCTCAGGGACCTCCACTACCAGAGTACCTGGTCCAGTGGAAAGAGTATCTGAGTCGGGAGATTAGTAATAACAACTCCAATCCAGAGGAAGATGAATTTAATTCTTCTCAAGAAGACTTCGCCGAGCCGGGAGTGGAATATGGTAACTTCGACTCGGCTTTATTTGAAGATTTTTAGGGTTATCTTATCATATTTTCATTATCCATTCAAAAATGTTACATAACGAATTTCAAATTAACATTAATTTTCAAGGATAGTTGTTAATTTGTATTATTTTATTATTGTTAAATATTAATATTCATTAAATAAAATTTAAAAAAAGGTGTAAAACTTATCTGAATTTTAAGATTATGTTCTAAGTCGAGTTTGGAAGTACTCTTACAACTACTTTGTATAAAAATTGTTAATCTTCCGATCCCCTTTCTACGACACCTCTGGTTAACAGAAAAATTCCATTTGTCTCCCGCCAAGACTTCAGGGTTGCACGGGAAATCGATTGCATAGAAACGTGCGGTAAGGAACATTAATCCAGGACTAACTGAGAAGTTTTTGGAACGTCAAAACGTTATGGATCATCCCAGAATTTATTGATAATGTGCTGATGGTACTCTGTGCTATAAAGTGTTTCCCAAAATGCAACATATAACTTAATAAACTAAGCGAAGGACCAATACAACAACATTTTTGTTTGATTTTTACAGCGTAATTAATTGCATACATTTAAACCTATATTAAGTATTTTAATGTTATATTAAAATCTTACCAATTCATTTGTATATTGCCTTTATTTCTATTAAAAAAAAGGTCAAGTTATAAAATTTCTGTACTTTTTGAAAATTTGGTTTGTACGAAACAGATGACCCAATAACAACGGGGTTTTTGGTGCGTTTACCATCACTAACACTGGGTGCAACTCTGCGTTGTTATTTTGATCTACTTTATTTGTTTTTTTTTCTGTTGATCGAAGGATGTCCCCGCGAAAGGAGAAGCGAGATGCTCGTTATTGGCGCCGACAGGCAGCCACTTTGCCGGAGTTCGTGCCGCCGGCTCAGCATAAACAGGACCTATTGCAGCTGCAGCATCGAGCCTCGATCCTGTGGTCGCCACAGCTGCTGGAAGAGGACGAAAAGAATGTTCGCGAATACCTGGATTTTGCGGCTAGTCACTACAATATCGAGGAGGAGCAGGCGCTCTTCATCCTGCGTCGTCACGGATTCGACCTGACGATGGCCCGTCGACGTTTGCCGAGGGTTGAGACAGCTCGAGGATGCCGCTACCATCGCTGGAAGGCCCAGGATCTCGTCCGACTTTCGAAGGCCTTCGAGAAACACGGCACCGACTTTGTGAAGGTCCGGGAGCTGTTACCTCACTTTCCATTGGCCGAAGTTCGGCTTTATTTCTCCTTCATGTACTCCACTTAGGGTTCAGAAGACATCATTCCTTTCGAGTATTAACTAATTCAACCAACATCGATTGGTCTAGCACCTACAAGCATGGTGATTTATTCTAGATCCATACTGTTTCAAAGCACAATGTAAAATGTACTTTAACTTAATTTGATCAAACTAGAATGTCTTGATTGTTAATTGTTGTTAAAGTGCATGACGAATTAGACTTTGATATGTTGGTTGGTATTCCGTTCCAATAATAAATCGAGTCTTCCAAACATGCTCCACATTGATTAGTTAATATTCCTAGAGTTTTTTTTATGTGTTAATACTCAAAACGTAGGATCAATATTCCTAGATCATAATATCTCCTCCAAGCATGGTGATTTAGAAGATACTTTAAATTAAAAAAAATAAATCTTAGAATGCCCTGAATAAAAGTTATTGTTAAAAAGAAAACTAACAAGAGCCCCGGAATCCTGGGCTCCCATAAATTTCATGATTCAGATTATTGCCCTTAGATTGGCATAGGTGGTTAAAAGATTAGCATGTTACCTCCATTCACTAGCATGCTTCCTTAATTGTTGGCCAACTTAACATCTGAAACGTTGTTTAATAATAAGTTTGAGAATTGAATAAATTTTTCTTTATTTTAATATATCATATCTTTGCATTATTCTCTTAGGCTAACAACTATTACCAAGCGTGTTTATCACTAAGTAAATATAACTATATTTAATACATAGATATAACCGTATTCATATAAGTTGGTATCGACTTCTGAGCTTAAGGTCCTAACATTTACAGGAATAGATTAGACATGTGTAACACTAAACCTATAATGACATTATGTACAAATTAAAATCGATAAATCAAAAAATAAGCGAAAATCTTTGATAATTCTTTGAAAATGGAAGATGTTTAAATTAACATGAAAATATAAGTTTATAAACGGGCTATATAAATGGTGTTCAAATTTGTTCAGTCTAATTTTTAGTTTTATAAGAAACGAAATTTGGCCAAAACTAACAAGTTTAAACACAGACTTGATTAAAAATCATGGTTTTACATTCAAGTGTCTCTTCATTAAAAAGTTAAAACATATATATTGACATCGAAAGATTTGGACAAAACAAAAAAAGGTAAATTCTTTTAACGAAAACAAAGGAAATAGCTTAAGTAAATGCATCTATCTTTCAGTCTAGATCACCTATACTCGTTTAGTTTGAGCTGTTAGTGTATAGTAAACGTTTGCCATTATTAGTTTCTTAAGACTAAATATTCTATGCTTGATCGCATCGTTGTCTGCTGCTAGGTGTGAGTTCCTCGTCGCGTTGGCTCTGAATAATACAATGTGGCTATTCTGCGTCTATCTAAACTAGGACTATGCTAGACTAAGGGCTGAGACTTGCGTACATTTCCTTTGGATGCGGTGCCCGAGTGCTTCTACGACTACGACTAAAACAAACTGCTCTGCTTGGCTAGGCTGCAGCGGTGCAGGGTCATGGTGCCTCCCGGTTGGATGGCGAGGGCGTGAATCCCAGGCGGCGGCGTGGTCACCGGACCCCATGACAGCCGCTTTCAGTTGGGCCTCAGCGGCAGCATTCCATAATGTTGCTGCTGTTGCTGCATCATCATCTGCTGTTGTTGTTGTTGCTGCTGATGTTGCTGTTGCTGCTGCTGTTGTTGCTGCTGCTGCTGTTGGGTGGCCACCGCTGGTCCTTGTGAGGTCGTGTAGGTCACGGCACAGGTGGAAGGCTGAGATACTACCACTGGAGCACTCACTTTTCGCTCCGACTGGGTGCGAATGGGTTGCGGGTGGGCTGCATTTGGCTGGGGCGGCGGGGCATACATCAGCATGGGCGGCGGCGGAGGCGATGGCTCCACGCTGGGATGACGAGCCGGTGGTGTGACCGCTGAGCCATGATACGAGCCATAGGAGCTGTCGTCCGACTGAGCCGACTGTCCGCGATTCCTTGGTCCCGTCACGCCGTACAATTGCTGCGGGTCACGCCGATCGTACTTGTGATTGCCGTCCATGGGCGTGGGATTCGTGCGGGTGCCGTAGACCGGCTGGAAACCTTGTGGTTGCTGCTGAGGATCAGGCATCATTTGCGGAGGAGGTTGCAACTGTTGCTGCTGGACTCCCATGTTCGGCTGTTGCTGCTGGAGCTGTTGCTGCTGTTGTTGCTGCTGCTGCTGTTGGAGCGGCTGTTGTTGTCCTCGCATGGAGCCACGCATTCCGTAGATACTCTCGCTGCGCTGCTGCATCTGATTCTGGACATTCTGGTTCTGGAGATGCGAGGATTGAGGAGCAGGGGCCACCTGTTGCTGCTGCTGTTGTTGCTGCTGCTGCTGCTGTTGTTGTTGCTGTTGCTGGGTGCGCATAGGATAGAGACTCTGGGCGGGCACCAGAGGACCTGGACGCGGAACAATGTCTCGGTTGATGGCCGTATTGCTCTTCGCGTACACGGATTGCGATCGATTCAGGTTGCTTCTGGTCAGAGTGGGCGAGCGGCAGTAGAGGGAGCGGGTTCCGCCATAGAGCGGCTCCTGCTGCTGCTCGTACTTCGAGGAGAGTGGAGGAGCCGTGTACAGGTTCTGGCAGTAGTTGCCCTGCCCGGGATTAGCCACCACCCCGGTCATCTGACCCATATTAGCGGCTTGGTGCTGACCATTTCCAGGCGCCTGAGCACCGCCATTGCCGTTGGACTGACCACGTGGGTACGTGCCCTGCGACTGCTGGTACTTGCTGGGCTTCTCGATGTCCATGTCGTAGTTCAGCTCGTCCTCCGAGTGAATCGAACTGGAGTCGTTGTCGCTGCTGCCCTTGGTGTGGCGCATGTGTCGGCGCGAGTTGAAGATGTACTCGTACACAAGGCCGGAGGCCATGCCACCCACCAGGGGTCCGAACCAGTACACCCAGTGGTTGTCCCATTTGTTCAGCACAAACGAAGGACCCAGGGAGCGGGCTGGATTCAGGTAGGGCATCTGCAAGAAGAGGGCGAAGGATACGGTTAGTTGTCTGACAAATTAGGAAAGTATTTCAGGGGTTGCATAAGTCAGCAGGCAAAGTCGCTTATGTCGTTTCAAGAGCTTTAGCTTGGAGAATGCTGCACATTTTCCATCAAAGGCCACTTGTGGATAAAGTTGGGAAACAATGCAAGGGACATTTTCTCTCAAAGACTAGATGAGGATAAATTGTTTTAAAAATGTAAATGGCACAAGAAGTCCCTTGTGCTCTTATGATATCTTTAACATAAAATGGTTCAAACTGTCAAGGGATAACTAGTCGTTCTTAGCATGAGGGCTTTACTTGTATTACTCTTGGTCATTTTACTGTATGCAGGTCATGAAAATTATCATATAAGTTAAGAGTTCAAGATATATAAATTAATTAAATGACTGTTATTTGTACTTATGTTGAAATGTAATCCACAACCGAAAATGAAAGTTATTGAGCAACTAAACCAGGATCAGCATTAAATTGTGAAAAATAAAGAACAGATAAAAATGGGACTTGTGTGGAATTATCCAATCAATTCTTTAAAGAAAAATCTCTAAACTCTTAATGACTGTATGCTAGACCCTAAACGAGACCTAAGACTGCGTTTTTCTGCAAATCGCTTCGTCGTAATTCAATCCGCGGTCGATATAAACTCGACTTTAATCGGTTTCCCCTCAAGAGCTTAGCCAAGTCATCGCGTCTCCTTTGAATGCCGCCACAAACTGTCCGTTATGCCAACAATGCGGCTCAGTCCTGGGAGTCCGTGTGCTAAATTAATTATCTCCTCCCTGCCCGCTCGACCTTCCACCATCCCGAGATTAAACTCTCTACCTGAACCCAGTTTATCTCGTCCGTTGTCATGCTGCGATTTTGCACCATCAAAATGACAGAGTCAAAGTCGGCAGGTGCGTTTCGGTTGTTTGTTTTCGGTTCGGATTCGGTTTTGGCGGGTTCTGGTTTTCAGATTTCTGCCCCGGCATCGGCATTCCTGGGCCTTGGGATTTCAACTTAAGTGAAGTCAACTTACCGACACAAGGCAGCAGGCACTGTAGGCAGCTCCAATCGAGGCGGCCGAGTTGCCCATGAACTTCTTCATGGGATCCGTGGATACGAAATAGCACAGAACCACCAGAAAGGTGAGGATGAATTCCACTCCAAACCTTTCCCAGGCGGCCAGAGCAGCGAATTGTGAGATGGCGGCCTGCAGATTCCCCTGGTATCCTGGCACCGTTACTCTGCAAAATGGAATACTAAAGAAATGAGAATTTTTTATAATTGGGGTTCTAAAATCAATAATATATTTGTGTAACATGCTTTCGGGTTTAACACTATAAATTTAGGTTTTGGAGATTTTAATTACACAAATACTAAATAGTAATAATAATAATAGTAATAAAAAACATAATACAATATAATAGTAATAAAAAACATAATACAATACGAAATCCCAAAAAAAAATTGGTTTTGGACCAGTCATAAAACAAACAAACATTTGATAAAAACGGCAGATCTGATTGATTCGTGTGCAAAGTTTTTGTAGCTAAATGTCGATGACAATTTATTTTATTTAATATTTACGGCTCTGACAGTTTGGTAATCAACCCTCCATCTCCCCCTCCATCTCCCCCCTGACCGAAATCAACCCCATTAATCTGCTGACACATGAACTGCCTCAACATCATTTAGATTGTCAAAGTTTCAATTACCGAGTCGTCAAAGTTGCTGAGCTGCTTTGGGTCAAATTTGCGATTTATGGGAAAATTCAACTGCCGGATAATTTGTTTCCTGATGCAGATGCAAAGTTCTTCAAAAGCCTAATATATTACGGTGTTCAAAAATTTGATTGTTGTCACAGGCAACGGCAGCTCCATAGGACAACATTTTGCAATGCGAGGCAAAGTAAATATTTTCGTAGCTGTACCGCAATCCTTTACCTGGCACCCAACCACACTCATCCACCCACTTTGCGAATTCCGGAAATAAATTCTTACGGAATGCACTTAAAAGTACTTGAGCAAATGGAACTCCTGGCAATGGGAAATTGCTCTGAGATCCGGCTGCAGTTGGGATTGAGGTGCTAAGTGTGGGCTATAGTCATCTTTGTGGAGCGGCTTAGTGGGCATTAGGCGGCATTAGAAGTCCCCGGCACAATGGATTCCACTGTGCCCACAGCTGCTCCTGAGTCTTGATTAAAATTTGATCGCTTCGGAAAACATTTTTCCATCGGGCGGACTTGAAAGTGCTCCTTGTTTGCTCATAAATCTATAAAGTGCTAATTTCACAGGGTACGAGTGACCAAAACCACTCATCCACACGGATAAACAAACACTCGATTGGGTGGGAAGCAACTAAGTAGCCGGAAATGGCAGAATGTTGGGCGGTTTCAGAGCCTTTCAGCAGCTCTTCCTGTGCAAATTGTTTGCGGAATAAAAAATGCCAAAGGCAAAGCTAGGAAACTTGAACTGGGAACAGGAATCGTTATCCTTATCCCCAAGTGGGGATGAACTCTAGCCCATTTCTCGCACTAGTTGCCACCGCGTATCCGGATGAAAGGCGAATTGCGGACTGCGAGCTGCGGATTGCCATGTGTCATGGGCCATGTGCAACGCCCTCGGTTTGGTTTGGTTTGCTTTTCGGTCTTGTCGAGCTTGCGGTTGGCTTTCTGGCTCGCTGGGAAGTCGGGGGACTGGGAATGGGGACTTTGCACCAAATCAAATTATGACACGAAATCACTAAATGCATTTTCGCATCGCACTCGATTTAAATCAAAATAAACATACACGTTTTATGGGATGCCAACGATTTGTCAGTTGTTATTATTGATTTTATGTCTGTATTTATGTTCTCGGCTTGATTTAGTTGAAACCTTATTGAAAACTAAAATATTAACTAGAATTCGTTAATTGTAACTTCAGATGGCATAATATTCATGTATTTTTAAGAACAATAAAACTTAACACCAGATTCGAAAATTATTAATAGTGAATCAAATCAAATTGTTCAGTTTTTTTATGAAATCCCTCTTTGTTTCCATCTCACAGGTTTTATATAAATGTCGGCGACATAACTGTATAACTGGACCACCTGTGCTGGATTGCAAATAGAATCAGGATGCAGGGGCCAAGTGAAGGCGACCGGAAGCACAGGCAGGATGCCATTTCCAAGCCAAGTGCGATAAGGCAGCTGGAGGAAGAGCTACTAGTGAAAGGGGAACAAATGTACTGCCGTACGGATTCAATAATTGAATTGCCCATGTGACACGAATTGATTACGATTTCGATTTCTACAAACCATCCCCTCGACTACAGGAAGTGCATTTCCATGCTAGATCCGAATCAACTGGCACACTATGAGAATAATTATATATATTATATAGTTTTTGGGAAAAATCAAACAGATTTAAGTTCCTGATTCATGACCAGAATTAAGTCTACGTTACCTAGGCATATTCCATGATTATTGTTTTGATTGTAAGATTTATACTTTTTTCATATTGCGATCCTGATCATTAGATAGAAATACCTCCGCTGTTTTTTAAAGTATAGTACTGTAAGAGCTATTAGATTAATACTTTTTTAAAGGTATAATGTTTGATCAATGAAGGCCAGCTGTAATTACTAATCAGTGATTCTTTATCCCTTTTTCCCCTCAGTGTAAGCCTTTATCTCTCTTTTCGTTGTCCAGTCCGTTTCGGTCCATTTTGCTGCTTAAAATTTAAATTTGTTCGGTTCGAAATCCTGTTTTCTGTTTTCTTCGTGTATCCTCGGCAACAGTAATTTCTGTTTTGGGCAGCAGGTGTGCGCACAGCATTTTTTCCAGCTGCTCTTCGAATGACCAACCAGATCGCAGAAGCGGCTACTCCGGCGACACGTGTTTGATTTCAAGTTTCCGCACCATGCATCCTGCGCAGGCGCAGCACCGAAGATTGAGCCTGGACAAAGGCCCATCCGATGGAAATGTTAATTATGTTTTTCTGCTTTCTGGTTTCTTTGCTTTACTGTCTTTGGCGGCCTCTACCTGATTTTTATCTTTCGACATTTTCAAAGGCTACTCGCATTTTTGGAACGTGCTCGGCGTGCGTTCTTCGAACCAAAAAAAAAAATGAAATTGAGAACGGGAGGAAATCATTGAAATGCGAGGAGCAGCCAAAGACTATTCAAATATTTTTGAGCCGGATATTGATACTCAAGTCCATTTCCCTCCTCCCCCGCATAATCCCCATTCCAAGTACTGCACTGTTTTTTTAAGCGTTTTTCGCTTTAGGAAAGATATTGAAATTTAGACTGGGTTTTATCTACTCAGCTCGGTGGTATTTTCTGCCACTTGGCCACATGTGGCATATGCGTCGCAATTAGGGTAAGTGGCAAGAGACATGTGACATCTGAAAAGCCAGGAGCAGGAAGAGCAGCTGAAGTGGCGGGTCCTTGGGGTGTGGGTGTATATGAATTGCCCCCACTAATGCAGACGATTTTTAACATGTTGTTTATCGCACATTGTTTTACTCCGGGTAAACAAAATAATTGACATTTCCTACTAAAACACAGTGAAAGAACATGCAATTTTGTTGTTAACATTACTTATGTAAGCGCCTAATTTATATTTTGTAAACCATTAAGGTACTTAATATAGAGTTCCCTCATAAATAAATACCCATAATAATAATGAATTCATTGGTTAAGAAGATTTGTATTATGATTAAGCTAAGCCTGAAAGGGTCTCATTTAATTTTATTTGATACCCTGAAGCTAAAACAAAATCACAGAGCAAATTAGCTTTAACGCCCTTCATAAAATCACAACGATTTCTCCGAAAACGCCGAGCCCAGCTATAACCTACATATAAAAGCTGAATCTAAACCAATTAATCAGCACACAGGCAGCTGTAGAGATGGAGTCCAATTCTCGTTTTTTAGTCCTCTCTTAGGGAAACATATGTTCCGACTAAAACACAACGTGAACTCATCGGACCCTAAGAAATCCATATCAGCAGAGTACAAAAAACCCGAACCTGATCGCAGTGGCAGCAGCTGAAACATGTTTCTTTGCTCCTCGACTTCGCCCCGACCCCGTTCTCCACCTCCTGATTCTCCCGCACGGATCTGTAGAAAGTAAAGATGCCAACGCACTTAAAAAGAGGCATCCCTGAGGGTCGGAACAGATGTCGAGCAGACAATCGGGACGAGGCATTAACATTAACATTGCTCCGAAAAGGAGTTCAACGGCAACAAAAAACTGGAGCGACGACATTTGAAAAATTGCTGCGCAGGCGTAGATATTTCCCTTCCTGCGATTCCATCGTCCTGCGATTGCTGGCTACAAAGGAAAAACCCTGACAGGCAGTAGGTTTTTTTGGATGGAAAGTGTGCGTGCAGATCCTTGGGCCTGGGTCCTTTATCTAGGCAGCACAAAGAAATCAGTTTTCGAAGCGGGAAATCACTGCGCAAACACCGGAATATAGGGGCAGATGTTTCTCCGGCAGATAGACTCCTAGCTACCTGCGTCCTGTTGCCTGCAGGTGCGTGTGGATGTGTGTATCTGTGCTGCTAGGTTACCTGCACATTCCGTTTATAGAATTTCCCTTTTCTACGCATTTCACGCTTCCTGTCGAGAGTCCTTGTTGTACAGTCATCGCCCGAAAGTGCGTTTCATCTGTCTCTATCTGACTTATTCCGTCGTCCTGCCACCCTGTCCCTGTCTAACAACCTTTCCGCCTTGATTTACGACCTGGCACTTTGAACAGCCTGTTGGATTTAATTTGAGACTCTTCAGTTTGTTTTTGGGCAAATCCACACGCAGATGCAAGATGTCCTTCGCAAAATGCAGTAATTGCTGTGGTCAGGCGTACAAACATATACAGATTTCAATACATTGTTGCAGGCAAAAATGAAAAATGAATTCCTGTTTAATTGACTTTGATGTGCTGTCGTTGTCTTAAACAAAATAATGCATTTAATGCAAGGCTTAATATTTCATCAATCAGTTGTATTACTGGTTTATTGGCGGCTTTTTGAAGTCTGCAACTGTTTGGGGCGTGTTTATTTAATTTGTTTCCGATCGAAAAATAGAATATTTTGTTTTAATAATAAATGCATCTTAATGATCTTAACTCGAAAGTTTTTCCCAATGGTGCTTCTAACTATATTTTAATGTTGAGTTTAAATAATGTTGCGTTGTTAGTAACTCCCCAAAATCTTTAAATGTTTTAAATCAAAAGAAATTATATGTTGATATATAATATAATAATAATATATAATATAATATGTTCCATGCAATGTATGTCTCTGATTGTTGGTAGAAATATTACTAATAAACTTTGCTCAATATATGGTTTTATATATAATTAAAAACTATTTAAAACAGTAGGAAAAACAATTGATTTCATGAATCATTACTCACCCATAAAGGAGCGCGGCTCCAGCGATTCCTCCGCCACATTGGGCGGTAATGTACATGGCTGCTCTGATCGGAGATATAGATCGCACTACGCAGAGGGCGATGGTGACGGCGGGATTGATGTGGGCGCCTGAGGGGGAGAAGTACGGAAAGTAGCTTTAGATACTTGAGGCAATCATTTGGGGCCACCCAACGGGAAAACCGTTAAATATCACTTTGACACTTCTTCGGAAGGCAATGGGGAATGGGAAATGGTATGGGGCAGCAGATAACATCATAACTTAATGCTCAGCCAATTGACTGTGAAAAAATAGGGAATCTCGAACCACAAAATGGGGGAGTCGAAGGCAAATCAACAACACATGTTTCAAAAAGCTCCTTCTCCTTTACTTTGGTATTACTCTTTTTTTTGTGGAGACGTTTAATTGCCTTGAATGTCAACGCAAATGAACAAATACATAAATACCAGAATAAATGCAAGGGAATAAGGAAAAATAAGTGGAGGAGGAACTTGGCCCGGGGCGATAAGATGCCGAGGAGGCGGAGTAGGTGGAGCCGCACTGAGTGCATTGCCTTTTCGAAAATATAACAAACAAAGAATGGGGTTCGTGTTCTGTACTGACTCGCCGCTTCAAACGGGAGTTTCCCACGCAAGTCCAAGGGCCCCAAAAACACTTGTCGCCCTGTTTTGTTGATGTTTCTGCTCTTCTTTGTTGTCTCCCTTAACTTACCCGAGATGTGGAGGAAGCACTGCGTCAGGGTAGCCATCGCCAGTCCGGAGGCCAGAGCCGTGGCCAAAAGCACGGACGACACACTGGCACCCACGCCAACGCCCGCGGCGGCACCGCAGACGATGAACACGTAGAGGAACGAGGCCAGACACTCGCTGATGATGGATCTGGAATGGAGGAGCAGGGTGGGCCCTGGGTTAGGATGGTTCCGCAACTGGGTTTGGTTTGCATGTGGCTCCTCCGACTGCATGTGGAGTGCGTACAGTGGATATCGGTTGGGAACGACCATGATTAGAAAATCTTATGAGTAAACCTATTTAAATCAGTCTAATAGCTACAAAACATTAGAAAACGGAGTTTGACATTTTAAATTACCTTAAATGGTACTTAAAGGTCAATAACTTTAAAATTCAGAAAAGTCTCTCTCGTTTAATTGTATAAAACCATTAAATCCCTTAAAATTGAAAACTTTAAAAAAATGTATTGATTTTTGCAACTTTAAATAAAATAAAAATCTTTGAAAGTAAAATCAGTACCATGTTTTTAAACTTCGTTAAAAAAAGAGCAATTTAAACACTTCTTAATTATAAGATAAGTTGAGGGGGTTTTAGTTTAATTAAATGATATAATTGACATAGTTGCTTGGAACATGTTTTAAAGTTCCGAAGAGCCAATTTAGCTGATAATTACTGTACTGCACAAATCAAGTTGCACACAAAGCCCTTTCTTGTTGCCCTCAAGCACTGCAGTGACAATTAAGCAGGGGGTGTTTGAGGGGCGGGGTTGGGAGCGGGACATGGAGCGGTACGGGGAGCGGTCTGATGAGCAGCTGCAATGCCGCTGATTCCAGTTGGTTCCCTCTGGACGTGAGGGGCCACTCGGATTCGCGTTGAACTCAAAAAGCGGAGTCCGCGGCACGATAACGAAAAATCAAACAAACCGAAGTGCTGATGAATTTCCATAAATTCATAAATACAGAAGTTTGGTTTTGCTGTCGTGCTTCTTTAATTGGAACTATGTGCATTCCTATGTGCACCCCAGCTCCTCTGTCCCATTAAATTCAAGTTTTTTTCATGGTCAGTCAGGGGAAAAAATAATGCCAAAGTGTCGCTTAGTTTACTTAAAATTTTTCCGCATGACATGTCTCAAAAACATTCTCATTGCCCCTGGCTAGGATTTAATTACTCCATCAGCTCGTGATGAAATGTTAATTATTTGCAAGTTCCTTGAGCCAAGGACTTGGTATGTGCCACAAAGTGCTCGAAACTTTGCCCGTGTTTAGTTTGGCGATTATCTTGATGATGTCGTCTTGAGAACACTTGGATTTCAATTACTTAGAGTTCATACAAAGCCAGATGACATCAAACAATTGCCATCTAAAGTTGAGCAAATTGAAAGCAAGTGCAGATAATGACGATGAAAACAAAAGGTTCAAAGTATTTTACACACGGAAAAATGCGTTTTTTTCAAAACGAAAACGGCTCTATATATAAGTAATATAGTATTAGATTTCTGAATGCTTGTTATATTAAATAATAGTTTTTTTAAATTAATAGATCTCGTAAAACAGATGTAAGCTAAACATTTAGTATAAGTTTTGCTTAATTCCTTGTCAATTCCTTTGATTATTCATTTATGATTATTAATAACTTTTTGAAAATTAGCACTTTTTTCCTTGCCAGTCTAAGACCTTTTTTCATAATTTCTGGTGGGATTTTCCAACCAAGTGATGGGACAGACTCACCTCCAAAACTCCAGCGTGCGAATCTCGGCCTGCATGTTGCGCTTGGGTGCCTGCAAGGTGCTGGACAACCGATTGTTGACCCCATGGCCTCCGCCGTGCGAATCCTTGCGCATCGCCTCCAAACGCTCAAACAACGTGACGATGTGATAGTCGATGTTGTGCTCCAGCGGCATGGTGTGCAGACTTTCGTCGGCCATCGCGGATGCGGAATGCGATTTGTTTATGTTCTCTAATTAAGCTGACGAAGTGAGCTGAACACGCGACAAGACGGAGAATTTAGCGATTTTGTTGGTTCAGTTAGACACACATTTCGCACTCTGCAAATTGCACTCAATTTATGTCAATTGACGAGTTTTGTAACCTCTTCGACCGATCCGTGGCGATGTTTCGATGACTATGACTTCGACCCGAAAACACGTCCGTAGTCAAGCGCGAGTGGTGCACGAATAACCGAATATCCGAAGCGAGTCAGGTTAGTTCGTCGCAGCCCTCAGGAACAAGTTGAAGTTGCAACTCACCACCACCACCCTGCGGCGGCAGCGACTCAACTGCCCACTCCACCGACGCAGTGGTGGATTCACATCCCCAGCACTGAGACAAAAACTAAGTGGTTGATTCAACTCTATAGTATAATTATTGGTTTCAACGTAATCTTTATTGATATCATTTATATCACCAAGTAAGAGTTCAGTTGCATAAACTTATATACCCCAAAAACAAAACATTTCCATAATTTTCAAGACTGTGTTTAAATAATAAAATCTATTATTAAATACTAAAGAAATACCCTTGGATCTATAGATCGAGACTACTGGTTAAGCTGATCAAGGATATATTTATTTTATAGGAGCGGAAATGTCTCATCTCTAAAATGCCAATACCACCACTCATGATACAATATTTTTATGTTATTGTATCATGACCACCACTCATCCATTGGCCATTGAATATTAATATTAATTTCAACCCAAAACTTGCAGTGCAACGGAACGGAATGGAAACAGAACGGCAGGTCCTGTCAACCTGTTGGTACATGTGTGTGGTGGTTTGTATCCACCACCCATTGGCAACATAATCATAATCATAAGTTTGTAAGTTAATTGCGCAGCTCTGATCGATACCACAGATTCCTGATTCCCTAAACTCGAACTATGGTCCGTAGTTGATGATGATTATTACGATGATGACGGGAAACTCAGGCAGCTGGCTGGTCCGGCAGCCGCTTTCATTGAAAGTATTTCCCTTTTTCGACACATTAATGAAATGTAAAATAATCTGGCTCGATGGGCAAAAGTTCGATTAGACGGAACGGGATGCAATTTTTGTGGTTACTCATTATAAAGTATTACCATGAACCTGGTGTTGGTCCCATGACCAGCACACTTGACTACACCAGGAAAAATCTTAGTATGCATTTTTTGCACATAAATATAAGGTATTATGGTAAGCTTTTCAAAATTGTATTCTAAATTGAATTTTAAAAAATATGTCTAAGTATTGAATAAAATACATTATTATGAAACTTATTTTCTCCCTACCCATTTAACATAATTTATTTATTTAATTCAGTAATTGGGTAATAACAGTATTATTTTTCATGGTTTGAGTAAGGGAAGTTCTTCAGTAGGTGAGTACGTCTAGTAATACGGTCGTAATATCTACATTTTTTTGGTGTATCAGCGGGTCAGAAACTCCAAAGGAAACAGCCGAAAATCCCATCTTCGGTTCACATTTTACGCATCACTAAAAACTATAATTATGAGCCCTAACCACTTGATACCCTTACCTGTCAATTGTCAAGCTGTCCCCGTGTGAGTGACTTTTCAAGCTCAATGAGCTGTGAAAGTTAAGAAATTATGTTCGGCACTCGGGGGGCAGAGTGAAATCAATCACGCAGACTTTTTTGGCCAGCCTACAAAACTCACCAAAGGAAAGGAAAGGAAAGGGGGAAGGAAAATCCCAAAGGCGCAGAAATTTCGACACTGTTCACTTGGTTTTTTCGCAAACGCCGCAAAGGGGGGCGGGCAGGGGCGTTGGAAGGACGTTGCCTTATATGGCACGACGGAGAACCGAACCACGATGATGATAATGGTGATGATGATGCGGAGGAGACGGAGACGACAAAAGGCTGGCTCTTCTGGCCTCTGAGCGTGGGAATTTTTTTGCACACTCTCTGTGTTTTTTCGCTTGTTTTTACCTCGAGGTCGCACGGGGTCGTTCCTTTGGCCGGTCGAAGGTAATAATAAGATGTTTTGTTTCAATCACATCGTCGCTTGATCATCGTCATCATCATCATTGTCGCAGTTTCTTCTGCTCGTATGCATACAAGCAAGCTATCCCCTTCTGCAGCCATGGACGTAATCAAAATTAATTCGTTGGTGTACAAACAAAATTTTAAACTATTTAATAAATAAAATTATTTTTAAAATTATAAAATAAAATAATTTGGAACCAGATACCACCATCCAATAAATTATAATCAAATTTATTTGAAGTAAGTGTTTGTTACCTAAGACAGATCGTGACACATCAACATATTAAAAGGAATTTAAATATATTTTTGATTAAAGTAAGGAAAGTAAGTTACATTATCAAGAACAAGAAAAGATTTTATGTGTCAATTAATTTAACATCCAGGAAATCGTTTCTATATCAATATTAATAATTTTCAAGAATTTCCAAAAATTTTATATTCTGGAAGGAGTAATTTTATTCCTTTGGATACGCCCATGCCTGTATTTATCGTGCCGTGGGATAAAACCAGTAAACGAATACACTCATCTCATTTTGGATCCTTTCTTCTTCTTTTTGGTGTTTACTGTTTTTTGTGGAGGAGCTAAGAAATTAAAGATAAAGGAGACATTCATAGCTTTTATCCTTTATCCTTCTTTGCTTCTCGGTACTCGAAAGAACCAGGGATATGTTTTTTCGTTTATCTTTAGATATAAGATTAATACTGCAAACGAGAAATTAATAAAAAGTGTAAAAATGCATTAACCAAATAATTATTTAACCAGAGAAGTAAATACATATATGCATACATAATTTTGTTTTACTGGATACCTCATAGTGTGGCAACTATCTTTCGCGTTGTTTTTTATTCCTTTCGTAGTGGTTTTTGCATTACACATCTAAAAAATAAATACATTTCAATGAAAAAAAATTTCTTTTTATTTTTCTAAAATGTTATCAACTATAAACCTAAAAATTGTAAAATGATGTATTTATCATTAAAATCTTTTCCCAAGTATTTGGTTTTTAATATAAACTTTTTTTGGGGTGTTATAGAAAATAGATTTTATGCAAACCATAAAATTGAAGGTATAACGTAGTTTATTTTCGTGAATGCTATAAAGAAATTGTTTTATTCATTTCAGTGTAATAAGCGGGTCGTGGGTGAGAAAGAGGATGGCTGAACTGTTTGGGAATTCTCTTTAGTGCAGGTTGCAGCAGTTGAAAATGGATATGGAGATGGAGATGGTGTCACGATGCCTCGCCTGCTGGGGCCACAAAAAGGGAAAGGGGCCTGAGAAAAGTTTCCCACTTTTCGGGAGGCTGTCGAAGGGGCAATCAGGCGGCAGTATCCCCACAGAGCGTGCGCTGATATCATTATTAGAGATATGCGAACCGAACCGATGAACTGTTGCTCGTGTTCCCTATATGAGGAGCTGATTTATGGGTGCCCTGCAACTTCTTTGGCTGGAAAACGAAGCCGTGACTTATGAGTGGATAAAGCGTGAGTACCTGTCCAAGTCCCTCGACCTACAACTCCAATCTCCCCATCTCGGGATCTCCGGCAGGTAACTGGCCTTGCCCAGATGGATCGCTGACTCTGCTGGTTATTTTGCCAAAACTTAACAAGGTCAATATTTTTGTGTGGTTTCCCTGTTATGTGGGAAAAAATCACTGACTGAGAAGCGGAGGCGTTGTGCAAGAAATAGGGGCGGGGCTTCTCGAATAGAACAGATTTTTAAAAAGGTGGATAATTAAAAATGAAATTTTAAAGTTAAGCGTATTTCTTGGCAGAACAGCTGTTCCTTACCTTTCAATTTCATGGCAAATTCTTAAACTTTTATACAAAGAACAAAAAAAGGGGGATTTCTGGGTACATTTGGTAAGTCTAGCTTTTTTAGTGCCTGATTTTGTTTGGTTTTTAGGAACATGCTGAATCGACTTGGTTGGTCATGCTAATAAAAAGTATATATTCATTACAGAGCCGCTTTCTTATCTCAATAAAATTCAATGTACCCCTTTCTCGTTTCAATAACAAGTTTTAAAAACACAGACTTGTATGACTAGACAGTTTTGCTCATGCCCTTAAACCCTTTGACCTGCGACAATGAAAAGCAGTAAAATCTAATTCACATGATGCTGTGAACATCAGCATATGCAAATCCAGAGAAAGACACGATTTCTGGGCTGGGTTAGGGCAAAAAAGTCCCGAATCGAAGGACTTGCAGCCGGTGCTCGACACGTGCCCCACTTGCAACCCTTTCCCAGTGTTGGCCGTCGTACTAATGATGCGGCATTATTTTGCATATGGACACGGGAACAGAGCGTTTCGCGTAGAAGGGTTAAGGTCGAAAACTGTCCCCTAATGAACTGAAACATGCTCGACTGCTACAGTTACGATAATTTATGCGTGTGATACAACCATTGACTCGGGTCGGAGGATTCGGATTGTATACAATCCTAAAGGATTGTTGTCAGTTATTTTGTTGCAGCAACGGACTGATGGCTATGATCTGCCATCGCAATTAAACCAAAAAGGGTTAGACATCAGCTTTTTTCGAGCTCCGGGATGAGGAAGTTGTGGTGGTGGTGGTCGGAGTCCTGCACTTGTAGACTCTGAGGTTCCCTGGTCATCCGACACAGGTGCGAAAGTTTCAGTGATTGTGGTTTGTGGAAGTGAAAGCCAGTAAAACGGAAGGTTAGTACACTGGAAATAAAACGGATTGCAAATATTTAGTTATTTATCGCCAATGAAAACTCATTTTTATTCAAATTTATAATGCAAATGATGGGATTCATATGGAAAATTGTTACTCTCAATATTCTGGTATAATAATTCATTCACCAAGAGCAAATCAATGTTCCGCTATCCTCTAAAAGCGCAAAACTAAAAAAGCTTAACTGAATGTATTGTAATACTTCATTAAATTTAGACCTATATAAAAGCTAAATGCATCATGATTTATTTTTAAATATTATTGTTTTTACTTCCCATAAATCAATGTTTTTTTAGTGAAGAAAAAGCTTGTTAAAACAAATGATATTTATTACCCTGATAATAAAATCAAATCAGATTATATTAAGCTCATTTTTATACTTTTGCGGAAGGAATTTAGTCAAAAGTTTGCAAGGCAGTGAAATTGAATTTAAAACATTTTTATGTTTAACCCCCACTAAAGACCATCGCCCACATGCTAGACTTTTCATTTATTAG